GATGATGATGATGATGATGATGATGATGATAATGATGATGATGAGGACCCTCCGTGGGGTCAGCTAAAGTGAGTAATCCCGCCTAAGAAGTGAGGTCCCTCTTTTCAGCTATCTTGGCTTCTATTTGGGAGAATGGTGCACTTGATTACAGCTAAAAAGGTGACCCCTTTTATTCTTCTCGGCAAGTGTTCCCTTCCTGACGAGTTTTCCTTTCGGTTCATGGTGATGTATTTAGATTATTCCGGTACACTTGGCGGACTTGCTCTTATTCACGTTTAGAGAAACAAATTGTCCTGATTGGACGCTTTCGAACAATATCCGCTAGTGTTTGGATGACCCACGACAGCCTTACTAGCGATTGACAAGCAACACAGTTTACGTCAACTGAAATAAACTTACAACATCACAGTCGGCGCACATACTAAACCGGTCGGTTGTGTCTAAGTCCACCTGATCGTACCCCCTGGAGGGTAAAAGACTACGCTCAGCTAACTACCTGGTTCATAGTCACCTTAGCCATTATACACACGTTACAAAAGCCAAGATGCAAGGCCCCACTTCACTAGTCGTTCATTCAACTGCCATAGTGAATATTTAATGGACCTTTCGGTGACCATAAATGCGTGAACATTGCTGACTAAACCTGACAAGATACTGGGTTTAAGAGTTGTATCGTTCACTACGTTGACATTTGAGATTCCCCACGTTTCTTCTCTCCTTATTTGTAAACCCAGGCTCCACTTTTATGGTTAGGCCTGTATATGAACTGGCGTTTGTGTGTCCTTGCCACTTCACCTATTAGGCCTTGAGGTCATCCAGCCATTTTGTGACTGATTTTATGCACGTGTGACTGTCTCACGTGGGATCGTGTTTGCTCATTTGGTTAGTACTTTCGTAGTCCAAGTAGACCATTTGTTTTGGATGAATATCCACTGTCGAAGCTTGTACAATTTATGAATTTGTCTTACATTAATATTATCGTATAGAAACGCAGCTCCGACTCTGTTTCTACCTTCCCAGAGATTCTCGTATTACACGTGATTCGAAGACAACTCTTGATCGTTACAATTGTTTCTAACCGATAACACGGGCTTGGGTGGAATACTTACTTTCTGGCTAGTTAAAGCTAGAATGGATGGAGAAACATCAATGACACTAAGAT